GGGGGGGGGGGGGGGGGGGTGTCAGGATGGAGAACCCTTGTGATCATTTCACCTTATCTTAATTTATTCCCATGCTCTTGAGATCTGTGTCTCATAGAGGCTGGTCATGGCTAAATATCAGTCACTATCAATGGGGAGTCTTGTAATTTCCAGGTATCAAAACATCAACTTTACTTTAAAAGCTTATAATACAACAGTGATTTAGTAGGAAAGAATTTTCGCAAAATTATTTGGAAAAATTGGAGAATATAGCAAAAAAATGTTAATATAGCAAAAAAAAGTTAAGTCATAAACCTGGGAGTCATCATCCTATTGAGTGAATTGGTAATGACAAGGAGGAGATTGTTCCAAGTATAGGAAACAATAAGAAAATTTATTTTAGATTTGTTATATGATGCAAGAAAATAGGGTTTGCTTTTTTAAAAATTTTACATCAAATAAATTAATAAAGTATGTTAGGGTATAACTATGCTTTCAAAGCTCTCTGAGTTATGGAAAATTCTTTCCAAGTCTAATAGACCTCTACTAAAAGAAGTAAGAGCTAAATGTTTTAATCCAAAATATTTTAGAAAGAAAGAAAGAAAAAAAAAAGAAGTTGAATTTTCAGAAGGAGAGAGCAGAACTGTGGTTACTAGAGGAGAGAAAGTGGGAAGAGGAGGGCTAGTGGGAGGTTGGTTAATGGACACATAACAGCAGCGTAGGAAAAATAAGTCCTAGTGGTATACAGTCAAGCTACGCATCTATAATTAATAATTATTTACTGAATGCTATCAAATGACTAGAAGAGAGGAGATCAAAAAGAAATGATCACAATGAAGTGATTAAGTTTTGTAATGATGAATATGTTAATTACCCTGATTTGATCAGCACACATTGTATACAAGTGTTGATATTCAACTCTGTACCCCACAAATATATAATAATCAATACCTTTAAATTCAATAAATAAATAAACAACAGAAATTTTAAAATATATTATTTTAAAACAGACCGTCTTCCTATTCCCCTTGGCTTGGGCAAGTAAGTAGTTCTGCTGTTTGCTCATGTAGGGAATTTGCAGAGAGAAGCATGTTGACAAGGGGTGAGTAAAGACCATGAATTCTGTTATGGATATGCTAAATCTGTGATGCTGATAGGGAATACAGATGGATAAGTCCACAAGGCAATTGAAATATGCATGTGGAGTGCGTGAGAGAGGTCTGGGATGGATACTGATTTGCATATAGTTAGTATATGGGTGGTGCTTGAAGTCCACATGATAATATGTGAAATAAGAAAGGTCAGATGAGAAATATCAACATTTAAGGGAAGTAGAGACTGGGAAGAAAGACTTGAAGAGGTAGGAGGAAGACCAGGAGAGATTTGTGTCAGAAAAATTACAGAGAATAGTTTTCCAAAGAAGAAATCACCTCTTGGCCACCGATTAATTGCTAAAATTAGCAAGCATCTGTTTAATGGGTTTGACGATGAAAGGAAGGGGAGTCAGAATGTGAAATAAAGAATATCTAGGAGCTGGGATATAAAGTTTCTGTATATCAAACGGCAGAAGCGTGGATGTTTTATCTGTGGAAGGGGAAAGACCTCCACAGGATTTATGACAGAGGAGGGGAGGCTGCAGATGAAGGGCGTAGCAGGCAAGGAATCTAAGATGGGAGGGGATGAGGACCTGGAGGCAGGGATGGACCAGCCCTATACTGGCAGAAATCTCCTTGCCTACCAGGGGAGGCAAGAATATAATTGTCATATTTTCTGGAAACATTTAAAATGTTTAAAGCTCTGAGCTGTACATAGAATTTTCTGTTATGGACCAACTTGGGTAATCTTTTTTCCCAAACTGATTTTCACATTCTACTAATTTCTACAGGCATTCGCTTCCCATCTCTCACTACTGATAGGTACTGCTGAATATGATGCTTTATATACCATTGTCTTTGAGAGAAATTTTATATAGCACCAGCAAAGTTAGTACCCAGACAGGTGTCTTTGCAGCAAATGCCAGCATTGGGTTAGGATCTAGAGTCTGATTCCAGCATTTACAGTCTTTGCTTCCTTGGGCCATTTCTCTCTGAAACAAAATCCAGACATCAGGACATATATCTAAGGCCACCATAGGTGTCTCCCAAACTCTGAACTCTCACTTGTAGTAACACTGAACCTCACAGCTGTCTTATGATGTCAGTAGCATCATGACAAAACCAGCAGCATTCAGAGAATGAGGAAGAATGCAAAGGACATTCACTGTCTCATGAACTCGGTGGAATCAGAGGTTTTTAAATTGTGCCTCCGCTGTCACCAGAGTCTCAAAAATTTGATATATTTGATTAAAAGTGTACTCTATCACCTAACAAAAATCTATACACATGAGAGGGGAAGGCTGTGCTCATGTACTTCATCCACATGTTCTACAAGATAAGACACGGAGCCCCCTCAGACTTGGAGTCATTCCAGCTAGACTCTTTTTCTTTTATCTTTTTCACCTTTTTTTTCTTTCTTCACTCTTACAAACCTTCTTCTCCCTACCATGTGACAAGAGGGAAAGGTGGGAGGAATAAGAAAACTTGAAATGTAGGCTCTATTTCACTGAGGAGTTTTGAGGAATTTTAAGAACTAAAAAATGAAAGCTTACTGAGTTGTATTTGTTCCCTGTGACCACCGTGGCTGCTGAGAGCTAGCAAATTAAGGAGAAGCATGTGAAATGCAAGAGCAGATCGACTTTGAGGAGGGACAGGATACCCTAATCTGGGTAGTGTTAGGAACTTGCTGCTTGGAAGCAAAGCTCAACTATACTGGGTTCTGGGGGGTGAGAGAGGGAGTGGGTAGTAGAGTGGGGGAGAGAAGGAGAGAGAGAGTATTCAAGAGGGCTTGGTTTTTAAATAAACTTTGTGGCCTCTTGCTCAAGGGATACGTAAAGTACAGCTTGTATCATGCTTGTAACAAATGACCAATCCTGCATTTAACCATTCCCTTCACTTTTTCATGAATAACAATAGATTTAGTCTCCCCAAATGTTAATAAAACTCTCATATTTTTTTTCTGAAAATAATTTAGGCTTATACCCAAACCAGACTATGTCTGTCAAACCTATTGTTAGGATTCATCTTAGATTTTTTTTTCTTCCAGAAATAAACATGGGGGGCAGGGGTGTCCTAACTTAGAATTAAGAGATTTACAATTCAGGTAATCACTTCTTCTTGATAAGTAATAGAAAAGTCGGCCAAATATTATTTCTCTAAGTTTTAGCACTTCATAATCGTCTGCCTGTGCTCTGTGTTCTAGTGTGCTGTGTTTGGCTGATGTCAAGGCTGTTATATTGATGCATTTCACAATTATGATCATATTTTGTGGTTGATGTTACATTCAACAAATAATTATTTCTCCATCTTCCTGTGATTGTTTCAAGGTGATGACACAATGACAGGTGATGGGGGAGAATACCTTAGGCCTGAGGACCTAAAAGAACTGGGTGATGACTCACTCCCCAGCAGTCAGTTCCTGGATGGTATGAATTACCTGCGATACAGCTTGGAGGGAGGACGATCTGACAGGTATTCACGTGAAGCTTTTACTTGATGTCCACCAGAAGTGTGTGCAACACATTTTTATGGTGATAATAAAAAAGTAGATGCAATTATTGAGCACTTAATAATAGGTACATCGCCACTCTCGGCATTTAGCATGTTGTCTTATTCCATTCTTTAACAACTTTAAGAAATGCCCATTTTAAAGAACAGGAAACTGAGGCCTAGAGAGCTCAAATAGCTTGGTAAATAAGAGGCACAGCATGATAAATAACAGCTCTCTGCCTTTAAATACGATGTTTTAAATTATCTGCCACTTTTTTCTCTATGCAAATTTAAAGAACAGTTTTTGCCATATAGAAACTCTTAGTAAGTGGCAACTACAGTGCCATAATTTCTGTGAATAAAAGCATGTTGTGAGGAAAAATTGAAAAGAAACATATTCCGAAGAAAACTGTACCTGGAACTGATTTTTTTCATATAAAGGAATCAGAATAGAATCCCTCGAGTACTTAGACACAAGAAGCATTCTGAGCAAAATATGGGGAAGCCCAGCTTTTATAGACAAATCTGGGGAGGTTTATATAATATTCTGAAATATACGATCAATATTAATTTTTGCTTATTACTAACAAGTACAACTGGTGCTTGGTTTTTTGTTTTGTTTTGTTTTTGTTTTTGTTTTGAGACAAGCTGAATAAGAACATTCTGTGGTCTCTCATCAAAAGTATGACGGCTAATTTAGGTCAAATATATGGTTATCCATGCATATAATGTCTTTTACTATTAACAATCTCAGGTTTATAGTTTTAAAGTGGGCTCGGTTGTAAGCTATTTTATGAATATCCAGCATTTAGAGTATAAGAAATAAGTACCTTAAAGAGAAATCAATTCTAAATGAATAATTAGCAAAAATAGGCTTTTCTTGTGCTTTTTCCTTGAACACCAGTGCCCACACCCCTAACTTTTTTTTTAAAACAATTCATTGTGGATGTAATAAGTGCCTTTCTATGCCGGGCTTTGTGGTTAGTACTGGAGGTACAAACATGACAAAGATATGCTTGCTAAATTCATAGCCTAATGGTGTGGGAGGGACGCACAGAGTGCCACTGGAACCCTGAGGCTCACACTTCCTGCAGGAGATGAGCACGAACCAAGCCCTAACCGAGCCCTAACCAAGCCCAAATGATGAGTAATGCTGGCAAGGAAAGGTGGGGAGGGTATTTGAAGCCATGACAAGGCCGTGAGCAAACGCTCCTGGTGTGTGTGGGAAGAAGAATAGTGCAGTATTGCTGGAGTGTAAGTGTGGAGGAGGGAAAATTGTATTTTTCTTTTAGATGGATCTCTATGCTAGTGAGATACAGGGTGAATTTTCAGGGAGAGTTGTCAATGGGCTAAACCTGGAGGTTGTGACCTTCTGAGAGGCTGTTGCGGTAGTATTAGCTGCTGTTGTTATGAGAGGACTTGAACTCTAACCTTGGTGGCAGCCATGGAGAGAATTTCAGAGCTGAAAAATTTGAGACATATCTAGGAAGTAAAACTATCCAGATTTGGTGATAGATTTCATGGGGTGGGTGAAAAAGTGGAGGGAGATTAAATTGACTCCTTGGCTTCAATGATTTGGATAGAGGGTGGTCCTTTGGGTCAGGATATAAAAGAGGAGCCCCTTGGGAGGTGGGAGTAGAGGAACTGATGACAGGGTCGGAATTCCATATATTGAGTTTCAATTCACTGACAGATTTGGACATTGTAATCTGAGCTTCTTAAAAGACTTCAAATTTCAATAAAATGAAATGCTTATGACTTTGCACAAATTCGTAATAATCTATAAATAGTCGTATTACTGTCAGCCAAAAAGCCTTTATTTTTAGCATGGTCTCTTTAATTAAGCGTAAAATATTTTATTGTTTTCTTTTTTCTTCTTTGATTTGATGATTTTTCCTTTTTTTCAAAGTACATAGGTTGAGAAAAAATCTTAAATAGTACTTTCTATAGAGTAGGGTGGATGGTTTGATGCTTCCACTTAAACTGGAAACTTATCAGCGTGTAAGGATGGGAGACATGAAACAAACAAGATATAATCTATTCTCTAGGCCCACACTTGCATTTCTAGAGCACCAGATGTATTTGCCATCTTCAAAGTGGAATTACAGGCAGCATCACATTTTTGTGGTTTTCTTGTTTTATTTATTTTTAAAATTTTGCTTAGGCAATTCAACTTGTTACCTTTTTTTGGTAACTATTTTTCCTTTCCATTATTTTTTTATTTGGTATGCTTTCAGTAGTACCATGCCCAGGTAGGTATTACATAGCATGAAAACATGCCCTTCCTGGATATATCCACATTACCCTGCTCACTGCTCAATGTGTTGTGTTGGTGGGGGTGCTTATATTCTAGAATTATGGATTTATTCTCAAATTAGGACTTTTATATATTGCATCGAATGAATAATTTGAGTTAGAAGAGATGAATGTATTACTAGAATGAAAGTCTGTGACATGACTTTGCTTTAACTGTTACTTCTCCACCTTATGGTTGAAAATACATCATCATGGCTTCCCCAAAAGTATCCTACTAAGCCTAAGTATAGTTGGAGAAGAAGGAAAAAAGATTCCAATGCCTAAAATATACATAGATGTGGAAGAATAAAAATACATACAATTTAGTGTACATTAAATAAAAACACAACCAAGTTCTGATTAGTTGGATTTTGTTGGATTTTGGATTAAAAATGCTGTCCAAATTCAATATATAATGCTAAATAACAATGAACCACAGAAGCTTTTCAATGTATTAAAGCAAACACATTGAAATTTTTGGATATTCACCTATTCAGTGGGGTTTGCAACTCCATTAATTGAATGTCTTATAAATATTGCAGTTTACTAAAATAGCAATTATACTTTTCAATGAAATTACACTTTCCTACTGACAAATGTGTAAAAAAGGCATAAATTAAGACCATACAAAGCCTTTGGCACATGCCCTAGCTGAACAGCAAGTAAAAAATTCACTAATATGGATATGTGTTACTATACATTTATTAACTGAACAGCAAGACACCTGGCTTAATGAAAAAAATGGCAACCCTGTTGCAAAATATTTAAACTTGTTTGCAATGTTTTAAATCAGGTGGACAATTTCTGACCCAGGGTCCTGAATTATTCCAGACCTTTGTGCTTGTTATTAATCCTTCAAGAGAATAATTTCTCTACTGTTGGATTATTCTATCTTTATTTCATTTAAGTAGATTTCATGATATCATAGAAAAAAGAGCAATTGGGAACTATAAATGATGATTAAATAACCAATTAGCATTTCAGAAGGCAGTAAACAGAATGAGCTAGAATAAAATCCACAGAGAGAGATACTTAAACTTATGGTTCTGACTTAGTCATTCTCTCTCCCTCCCTCTCTGTCCAGCTTTTCTCACTCTCTGTTTACATGTCTTCATATCTTTCTCTCTCTATCCTAATCATCTTTTCGTGGTTGTATGTCACTTTGTCTCTAACTTTCCTTCTCCCTATGTATTTCCTGTTGGGGTTCTAGGAAAGAGAAAAATAGCACCAACACCTCTTTGCCCCTCCCAATTCAAGGTCAATTGAGAGATAGACCCAGGTATTAGGTAGATAGATATCAAAAATACACCTTTATTACTGATAGATATACTGATTGCAGAATGTGGCTTCATATTCATAGCCAATGGGCTCGTTACTGCCATATTCCTGAAATAGACAGACTTGTCCACTCAGTCATTATTACTCCCTGAGAATGGCAATTGAGACATAGTGACTTCTTTTAGAGTTTACAATGCTGTCAGCCACATAACTGCATTTTATTTGCAATACCTTTATTTATCATTCGGTTTGTTCCCATTCAAGCTAAATTTCCATTTACCCTTTGAGACCAATGTCTCTGCTATTCCAGGGCTGCATTTAAGGGTCAATTCTACCCAGAGGCACAGCCTCCACCAGTTCTTATGAGCAGACATTCCTAGTCCTGTACCACAATGCCGGTTGCTCCTTTTGTACTGTTGATTCATATAAATCTAGTACCTTTAAATGTGTAAAATCATATTCTGGATCTTTGAATTCTAAATCCATGGATAGAGATTATATAATTAACAAATCTGAGCCCAATAAAAACCACTTGATGGGGGAAGACGGGTGAGCACATAGACAAGCCTTATCATTGCAAGAGGTTGGCCCCTCTACTATTTTCTCTTCTTTGGCCCAACTCAAAAGAAAAGAAAGAAAAGAAAATGTAAGAGCTGTTGATTGAATGCTGTGTGGTACAAAGCACATTTAAGTGGATCTTAGTTATCTCTGCAGTTTAAAGTAGGAAAAAAAAATTGTTAATTCCACCATCTGAGACAAGCTTTTGCTGAGATTAAAGACCCTTTTCCCAATAATTTAATCCCTATCCCAGCCTCAAATTCCAGGTCAGGTTAAGATTCATCACAGCAGGCTGCAGCCTGTTTATGAAGTATACCGTCAAAAGCTAACTGTACAACGTAAAATCAGCCAAAAATATAAGCTGCCTCCAATTACTGGGGCTGACACCTCTGTTGATGAATTTACTAGGGCATCTAGGCTGCTCCTATCTTGGCTAAATCTGGAGCCTCAATCTTTTCCATGAGCCTATATAATATAGAATAGCTAATTATATTTAGATTTTGTTTTACGATAAACACACATTTATATAGTTGTAAACACATAGGATCAGACAATCAACTCCTTTGACTCATGTCACTTACCCTCTAAAACTTGAGGTTTATTTTCTTTGGTATAAACCTACCTGCAAAATAGGAGAGAAAAGGCCTTGGATTACTATGGTTTAGCTCTAAAATGATGATTTCCTTAAAGACAATTGAAGTTGGCTATATTGACACCTCATAAAAGATGATAGAATGTGGCTTACAAAATTAGATATATTTGCAAGTTTATACTAATAAATATGCTTACTTGACATTTCGTCCATAATTCTACAGTACTTCACTGGCTAAATACCTGCTAGCTAAAAGTGAATGAAAGTTTGCTTCCATAAATATTGTGAAAGCTTGCATATCTCTTTTTTTCCCTATGGGCTTTGGGCTAATATTTTGAATACAGATCTTTAATTCTTGAACTAATATATATATATATGTAAATATACGCATATTTAAGATATATTATTTAATATATCAATATACATGTCATTTGATTGTACAGATTGATTAAGAAGGAACAAAATTGCATCTATGAGAATGTCAAGTTTTACACATCACATTTAAGTATATAATTTAGAACTCTGAAATTCAGATTTATCAAAAATGTAAAGCACTGATTATTGAGGCCTAAATCCCATTTTGAAGCATAATCTCATTTTTGGTCAGTGTCCATTGGCAGTTTGTCTTTGTGCTGGCAAGTGTGTCTGTGTTCTAGGCTGGTGCTTAGAAACTGTTTCTTGTGCTCTTGCATCTCATCACCACAGCAACCAACAGTCTTTGGCACTTCACTCAGCACACACAGGATGTGCAAAGGGGACAGTGCTCTCGTTTGAAAAAATAGCATTGTTGGAGTTACCAGAGACAAACAAGAGGAACTCCACTTCCGCAGGAAGCATGCATCTGGCCACAGTTCATTTCACTCTGTACCTTCCAGGGGAATGCACCAACGTTCAGTCATTCACAATTTAGAGAGGAGGAGAAAGAGGCATGGAGAGAGAATGGAAACTAAAGAGCGAAAATGAAACCTGTACTTTCATTTTGTTCTTCTCCCTAAAGACTGTCTTCTTTCCCCCTAATATTTTGCTTAGTTGCAGGGAGATTAACACAGAGTTAAGCAATCTGTCCTGGAATTATTTCCTGTGTGAATTTCTTGTACTGGCAGTAAGTAAACTACAGTTGCTGGTTTCAAACATTTCTGGGAAGAAAATGAATCAGATTAGAAGTATCAAGTTTTAACTTCTGGATTCCCTTGTGCCCTTGGCATTGAATGGTAGGAACCAGTCAAAGGATGTGTTAGTTTAGCTGCTGGACAGAGGTAGGGCAACACAGAGACCTGTGTCCCCCTGGAAGTTGCACTGTTAGCTAATAGCACGCTTTTTTCACTCTCCTGCTCGGCTCATCATTTCATCCTCCCAACCCTGCTACTGCTGTTGGTATATGACCATGGCCTCCTGCCAACCTCCCAGCCTTCGATCCTTCAGTTCCGACAGGTCTCACACGCTGAGCCATGCCTCCTACCTGAGGGACAGTGCCGTGATTGACGACTCAGTTGTGATCCCTAGTCACCAGGTACGTGACTTTTTGCCTTCCTGTTTTTACTTTCCGAAGAGCTTTTTAACATTACCTTATGCTAGAAATGTCCTGAAAAAGCTCTTAATCTAAAAAAAAAAGAAAGAAAAGAAATCACTCTTAATTCAGTCAACAGGCTAGAATAAGAGATAGAGTTTTCCTAAAACATGAAAAATGTTCGTTAGATTTTTCAACGAGCAGTGTTTTTCTGAAATAATATACTCCTTATTTTTTCAGCTATACTGAACTCTTCTGTGGAGACTATATCTAAAAATTAGTATTTTTTAAATAAAACCTTTATTAAAGGAAAAGTAAGATAGGGTACATTTAAGGTATAAGATGAATGGTACAAGTTAAAATACGTTTCAATATTTAAATTAACTATGAGAAAAGGCTTAAAATTTATTCTGGAATATTTTAATTTAGGCATGATTTTATCACGTTTGGTGGATTGGATATAGAGAAATAGATGGATAACTGCTCTCTTAAAAGACAATTACACTAATGTGATCTTATATCAATAATATATGGGTAATTTAAAAGGGAATGTATTATAAAAGATTCACTTTAAGTGCATTAGTCTTCTACTTTTAAATGAGAGTTTTTCCAGATAATACCGCCTTCCAGTGATGCCAATTTTTAGATTTCGTTATACTTTGCTTTAATTGAAGCAAAGTGTTTATATTAAATCCAGTGTTCTTTGTGTTCAGGTGTCAAATCTAGCCAAGGAGGCAGAAAGGAATTCTTACCGTCTGAGCTGGGGCACTGAGCATTTAGACAACGTGGCTCTTTCTTCCAGCCCTATTCATTCAGGGTGAGTAAATCAATATTATGTATCCAGATCAAGAGGTAAAAAGAGATGGGAGTGAAAATAACAGCTTTGTCTAATAGCTTTAGCTGATAGCTGGCTTACAGTGGAGGTGACCTTTTTTTAAACTTGTAAATAACATTGCTTTATCCAACATGGATTCTATCTGCACAAACAAACCAGCAAAAAGGGTTGAATTCAGCACAGAAAACTGACTTTTGTTTTAAAATAAGTAGTAGAATTGTGTCAAACAGCTGGCTAACTAACAAGAATATCCTGGTGGCCCCTTTACTGCTCACGTGCTGTCTTTAAGACATCCTAAAAAGAGGGGCTGGGTCATTTGCTTACCAGAAAGTTTCCATTTACTAAATTAACTGATTGGTTCTTTGAAATAAATGCTTTTCTGCACATGTTAATGCATTTAAAATAATGTTGACAGAAGTTTAAATCATACAAATATAGAGAGGAGTAATATGCTGTTTGAAGAAGGGATATAAATAAAGAGAAATTTGAATGTGGCCAGTCAGATTCTCAGATGTTTTCTTAAAGTCACCCATAGAGTCTGTACTTCACCATTTAAGAATGCTGCCTGCTTATATTAATTCATTAAAAAGTGAGGCTTTGAGTGGAAATTTCAAACATACTTTCAAACATACTTTAAGTCATTTTTAGTGTGTAAGAATTCAATTATGTGGAATCTAAATTCCCTAAGGAGTTTTAAGTTGTAACATTCTTCCAGCGTTTTTTTCCTTACATTTTAATAGTTTCAAATAATATGATAAAATCATAATTACATACCAATCCCATTTTTAATTTAATCACTTTTTTAAAAGCCCTGTCCATACTTTATCTAACAAAATGCAGTATTTTGGTTTAAATTATTATTCCACACTCTTTATTCATAATTCCCAGAACTGTTTGGAGAAGTGAACGTTTTCTTGTTTTTCATATTCTAAAATATTCTCCTTTCAGGAAAATGTTCCAAGATAGTTTAGTTAAACATTTTCAACTTAGTCTAATCTTGTACTAAACAAAGGCTCATAGAATATAAAATTAGTTATGTAGATATTGAAAATAATCATAATACTCTTTTCCTTGTTAAATAAGTAAAAGCTAGTTTCTGATGCAAGAGTTATTCAGGGAAATAAACAACCAAATTAAACCTCATTCAAATTTACTTACAAAACTGTAAATGTAAAGTGAGATCATTAAAATATAATAGTTATAAATTATTTTTAAAAATATAACATTGCATTCAGCTCCTAAATTTCTCAACAATGAGAGTAAGAAGGTGTTGACCTAGAATATTGAGTGTAATAGATAAGAATCTGGAAACCATAATGAAGTATTTAAACTCCATATCCAGCCTACAAAGGGATGAGATTATTTTAAGTAAAATGTAATTGACTATTAATAACTGAATTTACAAAAGAGTCAGTGTTGTGGTACTGCTTTAATTTTTAAAATGAATCATTTACATTAAAAAAGAATTTCGTAAAGAGGTTCTTTAATTACTAAAGAGCAGTAAAATACCTAGTTTACGTACATCGATATATATACCAATTGTATAAATCTAAATATGCCTGTAAGAAACTGTGGTTGATTGCTTGTAATGAACCAATTACATCCAGTGGTTAAAGATTTATCACTTGTTAAGGGAAGGATCTTTAAAATTCGTAGTCTCCGGTAAACCAATTTTTCTATGATTTTCAAACATTTATCACTGATTCTACCTAATTCTCAACAATAATTCTCAACTCCAGCTATCAAAATCATTTGGGAGCTTTAAAAAATACTGATGCCCAGGCCTCAATTCAGACCAATTATGTCAGAATCTTTGTTGTCGGGTCCTGGCATTGGTATTTTCTACAAGAGCCAATAGTCCAGATGTTTTATATAAATTGTTAGGAAGGAAAAACACACCTGTGTGTGTTGTTATTTGAAGTTGGAAAATGCTTAAGCAGTGGGAGAATGAGAAGCATGATGTTTAAGAGTGTGCTTTGGAGTCAGACCTATGAGAATTCAGATCCTGACACTGACACTCCATATGTAACACTGGACACAAGTTAAGGTAAAATCTCTGAGTTCCAGTTTACTTATTTATAAGATGAGTGTTATATTATCAATCCCATAGGGGAGTTTTAAGGATTAAATGCTTTTAAAATAATTAGCACTTTGCCTGGAAAGAATAAGTACTCAATAGGTTATAGCATTAGTATTTATACAATTCCCACACACATGTTCCAAATCTTTTAACAAACTGGAAATCTATTAAGCAAAATGTATTCCTAATCCTATAAATGACACTACCAATGTGGTTCAGTTCACAATGGCAATGTTTGACTTATTTTTATCAGGTAATTTATCACCTGTTAGTATGTCTACTGTAGTATTTGAACAAACACAATACAGTGGGTGACTCTAATAGGTTGGGTATTACCACTGAAAATTCAACAATTTTGTGTTTCATGACATTTGAAAGCTACCATGATATTAATGTTTGTGAGTAACATCATATACAACAATGATTTCTTGAAATTTATTGTTTATTAAACACCAGGTTCCTGAGTAGTAGCTTTTACACATTTTTTGAGAAACTGATTTTTTCTTTAATTAATTGGGTGAACTCTTAAGCCATTTCAAAATCTGCCCAAAATGTAGGAAAAAAAATAATCTTTTGATGGAGGGGATAATAAAGTTAGCTTTTTATGCACTTGCCACTGATTTGTGTGTATAATGTTCTATTAAATTTAGTTTTGGATTAATAGAAGACACAGCTTCTACCAGTAAGCATATTGGTGATTTTATTTTACCTCTATTCCATGTTTCCAATGACTAATGTCCATGACTAGAGGAGGATAGGTGTCGAAGATTACAAAAATCTGTTCTGCTTAGTAGATATAGCCAATATCTGGCAAAAGAAAGACTGACAGTAATCTTTAAAGAGTTGCCTTACTGATTCACAATGAATCCAACCAACAGTTATTTCTAGCATACTTAGTCATGATCATACCAGTATAAGTGTGGACAAGAATTTCAACTTCACAATTTTTTTTCATTTCATTAATGCATAATTAGTAGATGTAAGGCACAATACCTGGCAATAGCCAGTTTTGTAACCCATTTTAAATATTGTTATTCCGGGCCGGCCCGGTGGCGCACTGCTACGGTGCACCGCTTGGGAGCGTGGCGGCGCTCCCGCCAAGGGTTCGGATCCCACGTGCAGACCGGTTCCCGCTCACTGGCTGAGCGAGGTGAGGGCACAACGCCGAGGGTTGCGATCCCGTTGCCGGTCCCAGTCCGGTACGGGCGCGACACTGAGGGTTGCGATCCATTGCCGGACACGAAAAAAGACAAAAAGGAAAAAAAAATATTGTTATTCCAAAAGTCTTTACTTTTGTAGTGTTTTCATGACAGCCAACTGCCAACAATTAAATGTCAATTCATGATGTTATGCTCTAAGATACTATAATAACTAGAAGTCTACAGGAAGGTGATCTTTTAAAGAACTTTTCTTTCATAAAATCATGTTGAAGAAAATTTTGCTGTGAACCTCAAACTGCTGTAAAAAATAAAGTCTATTAAAAAAAACATGTTGAAGATATGCACTCAAATAATGGAATATTTGAAATGTAAGGCAGTTTCTTACTTGACAACGTGTTTTCCAAAGTATCCATAGGAGTTAATTTAGTTATTCATGTATTTCATAACGCCTTATAGGTTTTTTTAGGTATGTTAAGGTAAATTCTTGTGGGTGAAGAAAATCATTTTATGATAAGTAGCAAAATAACTGTTTTGTAAGATTGGGTTTCTGGTCCATTAAACATGTATACTCTTGTATGTCACCAGGTGTTGAAAACACAAGTGAACTACATGAAAACTTATGTAGGGTTTTTATTTTTTTTTTCCTTTTTGTCTTTTTTACTGACTGGTAACGGGATCGCAACCCTTGGTGTTGCGCCCGCGCCGCGCTCAGCCAGTGAGCGGGAACCGGTCTCCACATGGGATCTGAACCCTTGGTGGGAGCGCCACCGCGCTCCCAAGTGGCGCACTCTCCAGTGCACCACCGGGCCGGCCCATATGTAAGGTTTTTAAAAGGAGCAGACTCATAGGTAGAAGAGAAGTGAAGGGCTGGACGGTACATTTGGGTTAGACATTATGACCAAGGAGGGGGACTGCAACCTCCAAAGCAGGGAATGAAGTCTTGAAGAAAGCACTAAGACTTTGCATACTTTTTTGTTATCCACTAGTAGGTTATTAATGTTACCTACTCTGCCTTATAGTTTTTGTTACTGTTTGTCGTTGAAGCTATATTTTACATTGTGCCTTTTCTGTTTACATTTCTTTTGTGGTAGCCCAAAAGGGCATTATCATTATTTTTAAAGTATTGGAAGTATGAATGAAAAGCTTTTGTGTCAAAATTATGTCCATCAAATCAAAACTTCATTTTTTAATCATAATATCCCATGATGTTTTGTAACTTCCTGGAAACTTAGACTTTAAGTGCCCCCCATAAGCTGATGTTCAGTAAGACCACAAATCCATATCCAGTGATTTTCTAACATCCACAGTTTCCTAAACTGGGAGTCACCACAAAGCACCCATACCTTGCTCTTGTCTTAGCATTTGCAAAGAGCTGTATTTCATTTGTATTTCCATCTTTTTTTCAATGAATACTGTATTGATATATAAGCAATATATTTCAATTGAAAGTCACTTCTGATTTCCTTCTTTATAATTCACCATATCCATTCCTTCTCTGTGCTAAAGTATCTATTCTATTGCAGCCGCACCTCTCCATGTCTTGATCGTGACAACAGCAGGTGAACTTCTGCATAATTCCTTCTCTGAACATGTTGCCTATTCCTCTCCCCCTTTCACCATCTCCTTCCGTATATACCCTGCCTCAGGATGCTTCGGTGTGAAGATACCTAGCCAAAGAGATAGGGAGCTTTACGTTCTCCAAATTATGGCAATTACTGAATTCCCTTCTCTTTGTGGTGGAGAGAACATGGGCATTTTTAATTTCAGTAGAAATTAGGTGGAGCTGTGCCACAATTAATGTGGACTGCCTATTTTGGTCATGGGTCTCCACATCTCAGCTTCTTTTGTGAGAAAAAGTTCTATATAGAGCAGAAAAGTGTTGTTCTCCACAACTATGCAAATTGGTTGAGCTATTTTAAAGTTTTATTAAAGGTTATGATTTTAAGTGGCACTTAACAGGGTTTTGTTTTAAAACCATATTCTAGGTGAGCCAAAAGCTTAAAGTTTATGAATAGTGCATTTCCTTTCTAGGACTGTTTTAAATGCAACCTTTTGGTATTTTGGAAATTGTCCTATAGAATGACTCTAGCCAGTGTTCTAAAAATATCCATTATTCTATGTTATTTAGACAAAGTTACTATTTTTAAAGGTTCCTGTAAGATTACTGGTTATAGTATGTTTATTATATAGTCATCCATTTTGATACTTCAGGTTATCAGTCTACAAATAAGACCGGGATTAAGAAGGGATTAAGAGAATTTATAAAGGAGAAACAGCTCCTGGTGTGGTTTCTCACAGTACCTTAGAAATCAGATTTAATTTGAGACCCACCTGCTATGTATATGTGGATCACTGAAGCACCCTGATGATTTTGTTTCCCTGATCTTTTACCCAGTAACTAACTCTGAATGCTGAAATCTCCTCCCCATCCCCACCCCATGGTCCTGGATAAATTAAAAATAAAGCTAAGGATTAGCAACTTCTGGAGTGGAGGATATAATCCTCAAAAGACTGAATCATTGTTTTCTGCTGCCTTCTCTGAAGCATGTACCTGTTCAGCTAATCAAATCGCGTATTTATAAGTCATTTGCATAATAACTGTGGATTGCTTTTGCTTTTATTATTTTTAAATTGCGTTAACATTGTATCTCACAATTTAGAAAACTTCAATAGGAGTTTCTACTTTGCATGATTGCTGAATTTCGTTTGGAGAGTAAGATATGTAATTAAAGCCAAGTGTGTTAATGTGATATTTTTTGTTTGTACAGTCTTAAGTTGATGTTTAGTGCAGTAAATGTACACATTTTCTGCAAAACAGCTGTTTTAACCATAGAGCAAAAATAATATGCTTTTCTTGGAGTAACAGCAGTTTATTTTCTGTTTAGAAATTCTTCCAGAGCATCTGTAATGGAACATTTAAGTAGATTCCCTAACCTAGTTAACAGTAAACTGCACTAGGAGGCCACTTAGAGTTATTTAGAAGTCTCTCATTTTATGGATGAGAAAACTGAAATCTAAAGATGTTAAGTGACTTGCCTGAGGTTACGGCAATGATTCAAAACAGAAATAGATCTAGACCCAGAAAAGGGGTCTCTCTGCATTATCCTGTGCTCGGTGATTATAGTACTTTTATGTATTATTTACATAGTAAATTTAACAAACTAGTAACAACTGTATCATCGTATTAAACTACTTAGCACCATTCTGGGTTCATTGTAAGTACTCAATAAATGTTAGTTTCTCTGTTTATATTTTTACATGGCATTTTTTTATGTTATAATTTTTAAGACATTCAAAATATATAAAATCCTATAGGTATAGGGAAAGGAAAATAATGGAAACAAGCATTTATTGAATTCTATATGCTTTGCCATCACATGATTTAATTCTCACCATAACCTTAAGTGGTAATAGGATTATCCCTCGTTGACAGGTGAGTCCTGAAGCTCGCAGGTGGCAGAGCTGAGCGTCAATCCATACACCATCTTCCCTATACATATTCAATGACATGATTTTACTTTAATTTTTTTCATCTCCAAATGTTTACAGGTATTATCTTGTCCCACTTTTAATCTCCTGAAAACTTCAGAAAACCATATTTATTCAATCAACTCTAGTGTGCGAACTGACTCATCCCATGACTCCCACCTTACCTTTCACTTTTCCTACTGGTACAGAAAGGTAAATGGTCTCTTACAATTTGCTTTTTGCAACTGTTTTATACCTTGCAAAATAACTATCCCATAATTCTACTGTCTATCCAAATAGTGGCACTTTCTGATATGACATTTTTAATGAAAATGCTCAAATAGTTATCCAATTTTATATTATAAACTTGAGTCATTATTTTTCCTCTTCCTTCTTAAAGAAAAGGCTTATTTTAGCAAGCAGTTCCATAAACTCAGCATTTTTATCTGTTGTTTTTTCGGCAGTTACACTATTTGAGTCTAATTTTGTTTTAGAATATGTTCTTGCTAGGTTTACAGACATTTTTATTCATTTTGACTACTAATTTTTAGCTCTTTCATGTATTCCAGTCTCTGTTTCTTTCCTGACATCTTTCTGTTTTGCTTTCTTCTCTCTCTTCTCTCTCTCTTTCTAAAGCAAGTTCCCTCACTAGAACCTGTTGGTTTTTGTTAGTCTGTGTCACTTTCTTAAGCTGCCAGATAAAAACATGAAGCCTTGTTTTCTTTAGAAATTTAATTTTTTTTCTCTGAAGTATGAATATTGGCACCTTATTTTCTCCAATTTGCTTTGCATTCTGGTGCCATACTTAAGTGTTATTTTCTAGATCTATAATGACACAGAGATACTTATGAAGATGGCACTTCTTGCAGCTTCAGTTTTTAAATACTTTTATTTTTTTGATTTCCCCATCTTTGGTCTTTCTTTAAATAGTTTTCACTCCTAATAAAATTGTTTGTTTTGTTAGATTTAAACTCTTAGTTTTTGCTTATTTCCATTTTCTACTAATCTTCTTTCGAGAGAAGTAAATATATTGGTCCTCCCGTTTTGGAGCAGGAATAGGCCTGCAGAAGACTATTTAACATTAAGGATAGGCTTTCCCAACTGCTTTGCTACCTCTAAGTGTAGTGATTTGAATGAGTTCTGACTGGACTGATTGTCCAGAGAACCAAAGAATTAAATTACCTCCTACTTTAGCCTTCTCTATTAGACGTTAACATATACAATTTCTCGCAATTTGCCCTGTTCGCTCTTCCACACATTCACTTATTCAGCAATTATATATTGACTGACTACTGTGTGCTCCATCCACACTGTGCTAGGCGTTAGGGAAGACAGGAAGAAATATGAGAACATATTTCTCTTACTGCCATTAAGGCACATATATAACTTCTATATGTGATTATAGTACATTACTCATTGAACAGGAAAGTAAGTGATTCTAAGCAGTAATGAAAACATCATGTGACATCTGGGGCTCAAACTGTGAGCTTCTTGGCAGCAGCAACTGTGTCTTTACTTTCTTTATCCTCAGTTCCTAGCTGGTCACCTGGCACTTAATAATTGGAAGGTCACAAATGTTGCATGAAAGGGAGCATAGAAATGATAATCATGGAGCAAATGAGAACAAAAAGAGGGTTTCAAAAGGAACAGTCAGTGACACAAAATCAGGGAAAGCAATCTCACGTGTTCTTATTTAAACATTGTTACAGTCAAAAACACACCTATTTCAGTTCACTCTTTACAGAATGGACCACCAGAAGATATTCCACATGTTCTTCTAGATGGAGACTTGATATTACATAGGCCAGAAGAGATCACTGGGAAACATACAGTGAAAATGCAATAATAGCATGTAACATGAGTGTGGAAACTTTTTAAATGCCTTCAAAAGTTACAAATAGTAATGAGGATTGATAACATTAAGCAGATGTATTATAATAATTTCTTACTAATTTGAGTCACTGTTCTGTTCACCAATGGAGATAGTAATCAAAAGATGAAAAAAAAAATAAAGTATTCATCTTAATTAGCAATGAGTCAGAAATATTGCAGTGCATTTTTTTTTTACAAAAGTCAACATAAATATCATACTCAAATAAGGATAATAAAATAGAAAGGAAACCTTTATATCTGTCCAGAAGTATTACTAGTTCTTTCATTCTTTTGAGCAATGGTACATTTAAAAGTCAAGTAAAAAATAAAATTAAGGAGTCATATGTAAAGACTATAAGAAAAGCAGCCACCATTTTTCGTAATGTTTTGTTAAAAACCAGAAACTTCAACACTTCAATACTGAACTGTTGATTGTACTCCCCAGTTTTCACCCCTTCCTGAAAACATAGTACTGGGAATGAATGGTAGGTGTAGCCTGGCCCCTGCATGTGGAAAGGACTGTGGCACCTCTTCCAGTGGTCTCATCTGCATGGCGTGCTTCAGACAGGTAGACTGGGCTCCTCACACCCTTTTGTACCACTAGCAGTAGGATTTCTGTTTAATAGCATGCTTAATGAGATATATGTTCTGCTTTGAAGAGGATGCTAAGACATTTTTCTTTGCCTAAAAATAACATGAATGCACTGTTGTTTCTATCCCATAACTTACTTTGATGAAAATACCTTTGGAGTATGTCTTTCTCAATGTCTTGGAGGCAATATCTAGGTGTGGCAAATCTGGTATGATTCTGTGCTTCGTAAGTTATAACTAGATCCATCATACACCTATATGTTGCTTTCCTTTTTCCATTTTTTTTTTTTTTTTTGTCTTTTGTCTTTTTTCCGTGTCCGGCAACGGATGGCAACCCTCAGTGTTGCCCCCGTACCGGACCGGGGACCGGCAACGGGATCGCAAGCCTCGGTGTTGCTCCCGCGCCTCGCTCAGCCAGTGAGCGGGAGCCGGTCCGTATGTGGGATCCGAACCCTCGGACGGGAGCGCCGCCGCGCTTCCCAAGCGGCGCACTATCCAGTGCGCCACCGGGCCGGCCCTCCTTTTTCCATTTTGGTGTAAAGATCTTGCAAATGCAATGAAAATGGGGAAGGACATTAATGTGATTTGTAGAAGAGCATACACACTGTTTGTATGTGTCTTTGTGAATGTGTCCACAACAATTGTATTGCCATGTTGTTTAATTTTTCCTCCTTGACAAAGTGAGTGCCTGAGAGACTTTAATGAGTGTTATGACTAAGTGACTAGCATTCAAACTAAGCTGGATCAGGATCTGTTAAGACCATCCTAAAGTTAAAACAAATCCTTTCTCTTGGAACACTTAAAATACACAAACCAAGTCACCTTGGGCTACAGTTCTCCTTTTCATGAACAATTAGCTTATTAGAAAAGGAGCAAAAACAATAGAGATGCCTTTACATTTCTAAATTATTAGCTATGATTTTCCATATTCAATTTTTTATAATTTGGGAAAAACCATGATATACAGATATCTTCTATTAGCGTGAGTCCAAGGTTTCTCACTCCTGGAATTTTACTTCAAAAACAGAGTAGAGGGGACTCTAGCTCTTTTCTGTCCACCTTCTTATTGTTTCAATAGAATGATATGGCAGAGAAATTCCTACTTAAGAAGTAAAGAAGTGCATTTAACCAGAAATGTGATTCTATCCAAAACATTTGATAATTTCACTTTCCCCCTCCTTTGGAATGTAATCAGTTAACAATCTGCATCCTGGCTAAGATGATGTTGCAGCAGGATGCATATGCATGGATTTGATCTTGGGAGAAGGACTTTGCATTTTTTAAGTCATTGTATTATATTAAAATGAGCTGGACAAGACGTAGTTTTGAGAGGTCGAGTTTAATTAACTTAGAAACTTCAATTTAGTCTTTCCTCTCTGCTCTATCCTTGTATTATTTCAACATGTGGATTTTTCAGGACGTACTTATAAGGAAGCAGAATCTTTCCATTTAACAAGGAGACTTGTCAATTTTTTTATATCATTTCATTCCACTTTCTTTCAAAAATAATTGGACAAATTTTTAATTTATAGTTTATATTTAAGAACAACACTATCGACAAAAATAAGAATTCTTTTTTAGTTACAGATGAAAATAATACAGAAATTGAAACAACAGCAAAATATGCAGAAATAAAGGCATTGGTATAAAGTAAAATAACTTTTAAAAATATGTATCACCACCATGCATTAAAATGAATAAAAGAGGTTTTGAGAACAAAACATTATGAAAAAGTACTAACTTGACAAAGCTTGTTTATCTTCATCCAGTATTTCAAAACACATCTAATCTTCTATTTTAATTTTTAGTTTCCTGGTTAGTTTTATGGTGGATGCCCGAGGCGGTGCTATGCGAGGATGCAGACACAATGGGCTCAGAATCATTATTCCACCTCGGAAATGCACTGCCCCAACGCGTGTCACCTGCCGACTGGTCAAACGCCATAGATTGGCGACAATGCCTCCAATGGTGGAAGGAGAGGGCCTGGCCAGTCGCCTGATCGAAGTCGGACCTTCTGGTGCTCAGTTCCTTGGGTAAGGGTTTCTGATAAGCCTCCCACTTAGTCACCGATGAGCTTGTATCTTCTACATGAAATCACTAGGATGGAATGGAAAAAGGTACGTCAAACCGTTTTGAAAGAAGATTGGCTCATATGAAATTTTTAAAAATTGGAAATAGCACCTCAATGCTTGACTCCACTTACATGCCTCTTATTTTAAGGCGTTAATGAGTTAAACATTCAGGTTGATTATTCTTTCTCTTTGGATGTGATAATAGCTGCCAGACTCCCAATGTGAATAACCATGTTGTAGCGGATGGTAGCTATTTTTTTCTCATTGAGACCTAAGTGGTAAAGACCTAACTGCTCTATTCCAAACATAAATTTAAAGTCTCATGTGTTTATGAAACAGAATTGCAGAATTATTATCTTTACTTTGGAAAGCCGTGTTACTTTATGACTATCTAAAAATTTAGTCTATGTGATTTTTTTTTCCCTGTTATCAAAATTGCTACTGTGAGCCTTAAAATTACACTGGTGGTCTATTTATTTATTTATTTTTATTTTTTTATTTCATCCATATACAGTGTAGTTGATTTTCCTGTCCCTTTACCGACTGGTGGTCTATTTAGTTGCAGTTTGTGTTAAGACAAAAACGTCAATACTAACTTCTGCCGTGTTCATTTTAGCAATTTTGAGCAGAAATTAACATTTCCTTTTTCTTCTGTTTGTTTGTATGGTTGCTATTATATTAAGTGGCATCTCAGTTTGCCAAAAAATAAATAGCTACTGCTGAAAACTAACAAAAGGATGAAGTTTTGGGGGGGGATGAGTTTCAAAACATTTTGAAACCAATCAATTGTATTTAAGTCTTGTCATATCAAGTCTTGGTGCTTCAAAAACAGGGGCAAAATCCTGTTAATCATGAACTCTGTTACTTTGTCAATGTCATACTGGGGAGAGGACTTCTTGCTTTAGAACTCAGGAAATGTTCTAAAGCCTTGTAATTTGGAACAAACTATTAACAGGTTGCTCCAAATTACATTCCCACCCAAAAAAGGGTGTGTCTGCATTTCCCAGTTGTAGAAACCACTTCTCATGTCCTCCTATCAGACAGACCAGAGCTTTAGAAGGAGCCTGTGAAGTTCTGGGTTGCATCAGAAAATGCCATTATAGTTGGAGTAATTCCCTGATGATTTTTTCCGTATTCTTTATCAGACCCTTTCCCCTCATGCTCAGGTAGTTTTAGGCTTTTTAATAATCTTCAGATCTGTTGGGGAATATCCATGAAAACATCTGGCCTCTATAAAGAGCAGAGTTTTAATATATTCCCAACAGCTTTGTCTTTCCTGTGGAGCATTTTTTTTTTCTTTCTTGGCTAGTGCCCTGGCGGTGAACCTAAACAGGGACAAATTTGACAGCTAAGTGCCCTCCTTGCACAGACATGCCTCCATGGTACACTCCGGGTCTTGGTGCCTTGCTCTTTGTGACCAATGGAGGGGGCAGAACCAAACACAGTGTGAAACCAAAGTTCACCCTGTGGATCAGCTGGTGACGCTGGGGTTCTGTGGAAAACATTACCTGAAGCTTACTTATGTTCTTTCTTTCACTGCTGCTTTGGATGTACTCAGTAAACTTCACCTGCCAACGGCTCCTCCCCCACTTAATGAGGGAGAAAGTTTGGTCAGCCGCATCCTTCAGCTGGGGCCTCCTGGAACCAAATTCCTTGGGTAGGAGTGACTTAAAACAAATTGATGGCTGCTGGCCCCCCATTCTTCTCCTTCCTCTGCAATATGATTTCTCTTTTTGTCATTGTACCCATGACATGTCCCTCTCTATGATTTAAATTCTGTCTAACCTATCTTTAGTGGACCATTTCTGACCCTTGTGGTATGTGACTTTTATTTTTGAGTGATGTTTTTATATCTTTTCCCTTAAAGTGCTGTGACCTTCATTTTCGTTTAAGCATGAAATCTGCCTAGTTGTACTATGTGCTAGTTATGATATTGTTATGATGAATTTGGAGTCTGTATCAAAGCAACCTGGACTCAAAAAATGAAAGCCTCTATGTACTTTGAGGATGAATTTGACCTGAAAAATAGTAGGGCACTGCATGTTCTGGATCCTGAATGTAATAGGCATTGGACACAATTGGGCTGTCTGGCGAGGGGCTCAATTAGGGCCACAGTGTGTACACATGCCTATTGTTTCCTTGAATGAAGGATATATAAGCAAAAACCGTGAGTGCATGGCTCTTTCGTTCTCAAGTAGTCAACTTTTCTGACATCTCCTCATTTATGACACATCAAATTATGCAATGTCTAAGCCATTTTCCCTCTTATACCATTTTGTCATTTTGCACCTTGTAGAAATGTTTTAGGAGATTGGCACACATCATAGATATGCATGTACATTTCTTTTGGTTAAATGTGTTATATTTACATTTATCAAAGGAGAAGTTCCAGAATGCCACATGCACTCACAGGGAAACATCATTTGGCTTAAGGTAGCAGCATGTACCCGAGGATTGGTGCACCTGAGGTGGAGTGCTACTGTGCGACCATCTGCTAGCCAATGGGCTCCAGAGGACGGCCCACTATGTCCCTGTCCCCAGAAAGAGAAGAACTCCAGGTCACTTTGCAACAGACAGAGTTGAGGTTCTTGTCTTGCTATTGGTTAGCTCCTGTCCACACTAAATGTTCTGCATTGCTGTGTCAGGCCTGTGATCGTGGAGATCCCTCACTTTGCGGCCCTTCGAGGAAAGGAGAGGGAACTGGTGGTCCTGCGCAGTGAGAATGGGGACAGCTGGAAAGAGCATTACTGCGAATACACTGAAGACGAATTGAATGAAATCCTTAATGGCATGGATGAAGGTACCTTCAGATTAAGGGTTTAAAAGAAATCTAAAGTGGAAGCATAAAAACGATCCATTTCTTTCCTATGACCAAGAGGGATGTGTGTGTGTGTGTGTGTGTGTGTGTGTCTCATGTTGTTTTATCACAGCAGGTAATCTGCTGTGTTCCAGTGGTGATGAGTTGGGATGCACAATATATTTGCCTGATCTTACTTTTGTTACATTCAGGAAAATAAAATCCTGAATTTTTTAAGATAGCAAACATCTCACCTTAATAAATAAATACAGTACACTTCTATCTTTAGTATAAACTTTTTGAACCTGAAAGATAGAATATTGTTGTTTCATAACAAAATGTATTGATACTGAAAAATAAATCCATGATTTTAAAAATACCTAACCTGAAAAATTAGGTATTTAAGATACTAATAAAAAGTGCTAAGCTGTTCTGTTGGAAAACTTACATCTACCCATAACTAGTACATTATAGGATAATATAATTTCTTTTTAACTTTCTATTATGAAGGAGGTAGGAAAATTAATATCATTCAATCTTACACCCATAATTCAAACAGGGATTTAGCCAGGGTTGAATTACATACCTACGTATACACATCCAGTTGAGAAACTTAGTTTTTCATTAGAACTTTAATCTCTGTAAATCCCAAACCTGTCTTGGGCCCTTGAACCACAGGTTGAAATGTTTCAGTTTGACTACAGGGAAGTTGCTTATTCTCAGGCCTTCATAGTTGCACAGAAAAAAAGGTCTCAGTCCTAATACCAGGAGGCTCATTCTGCTTTGAGTAACTGCACACATAGGGCAAGTTCTTCACCTAAGTGCCAAAAGCATAGCAAGTTTTGTGCAAAGCTGGATGTTCAAGGGCAAGTATAGCTGTTTATGAGTTTATCAGTCTTCTGGGATACAGGCAGTAGCTTCAGGTGTGGCTCACAATAGTAAAGAGGAGCCTGACCACAGCTCCTTTAATATTTCTTTCTGCATCCTGCTGAGGTTTGAATACCTTATCCAAGAGGGGGCTGAGGAAGAAATTATGCCCTCTAGATGTGTAGGTCAATATCTTCCAAGCAAAATAAAAAGATAAGGATTTGTATTGATAAAACTTGTTCCCTGCAATATTTAGCTGCTTCTTGGAACCATTTCTTTTGTTAGCGTTTAGGTTTAGGATATTTTCCTCTGAGATGTTTACCTCTCATTTGACACTGCTATGAGCATTGGCATCTTGTCCTTAGATGGGGACCCACTTATAACATTCTACATATGTAAAAGCTAAATAATCAAATTTGTATGTTTATGTTTGTATGTTTGGAAATGTTTTTGTTTGTATGTTTGTATGTTTTATAAATATATGCTAGTATTTGCCAGTGCATCAGTCTTCAATTATATGATCAAATCCTGGGACTTGTGGCTTTTATTATCTCGTTATACCCAGTAGTCATAAAAAACATAGTTGTTCTTCCTGCCTCTGTAATGAATTGTAAATTATTTCTAAAAATGAGCAACTTTTTGAAATCCCTTAAAATTCAGTGTTCCACTTTGTTAAAATTTTCTACATTTTAACTAGTCCAATTTTTTGTATTGCCCTAAATATCTACACTAATGCAATTTACAAAGTACATGATTCCATCCTCTGATGTTAGATGACATATTTGGTAAGCTAATGGAGTCAGGAGAATATTGAAACCCTGAATTCATCACCACTGATCTTTTTTTATATCTACAGTGACTATCTCAGAGATAACCATCCCACCAGAGTTAACATGTGAACATAATTCTTACCATTCTGAGACAGATTTTATTCCTGCACTATTCTCCTGAGAACCAAAAGAGCCATATTAGTTCTTAAAACCCAATAACTGGTCTTTGAGCTGACTTTGAAATTTGTAAAGAATAGGAGTCCATAAACAATTTTCTCTCCATCACATGAACCAAGAATAGATAAGGTTCATTTTCATTCCAGGTTTGCCTCATACCCCTCATTTACAAAGACAGCCCTGCAATACTGCATCTGGAATGAGATGCAATTCTTTCACAGTCCCCTAAAAAGTCCTAGTTTTCACAAAGAAAGCACGTAAGATAAATGTTGATGGTCTTGAAAAATTGCATTTTTTTTTTTTTTGGTGTTGTTAGGATAACCTTGCTTTTTATATTTTTATATTGTTTGGGGCAAAAAATAAAAAGGAGTTTTGCTGCCATATCTATTCACTATTAACCATATCGATGAGTTTATTAGAATGCTTTGAGAAGGAAATTCTTGCTCTATGAAGGTGGGTCATTTCTTTTCTCAGTGCTGGATAGCCCAGAAGACCTAGAAAAGAAACGCATCTGCCGCATCATCACCCGTGACTTCCCACAGTACTTTGCAGTGGTGTCACGTATCAAACAGGACAGCAACCTGATTGGCCCAGAGGGAGGCGTGTTGAGCAGCACAGTGGTGCCCCAAGTGCAGGCCGTCTTCCCAGAGGGGGCACTAACCAAGCGGATCCGCGTAGGCCTGCAGGTATGCCCATGATGGATGCAGATGATCCCAACATTCATTTTTTCTAGTGATTGAAAACTAGCTTCTCAAATGAGAAATGAATTGTTAAAGAATTAAATTATTACTGGGTCAGCAAAAGCTGCCATTGGAGATCATGGGTTTCACAAAGTTTTATATGAGTGCTTAGTAACTGTACTAAACATATGACTGCTATATTTGAAGTCTACTGTATCAGTCCGTTTCTGCTGCTTATAACAAAATACATGGAACTGTGTAATTTGTGAGAAAATGAAATTTGTTGCTTACAGTTTCAGAGACTGGGAAGTCCAAAGTCCAGGGAACACATCTGGTGAGGGTCTTCTTTGGTGGTGGCTGTACAGCAGTGCAGGGGTCTCACATGGCAGAAAATGGCAGAGTAGAGAGAAAGAGAGAGAGTTCCTCATGTGCTCTCCTTTTAAAGCCTTCAGAACCATGACTGTGACTACCATTATTAATGCATTCATTAGGGCGTGGTCATCAGAATCTAATCTCTTCAAGGTCCCACCTTTCAATTATCATAATAGGATTTCCTACCCTCAACAGCTACAGTGGGGATCAAGCTCCAATGACTTTGGGGGGCCATTGAATCCACTGCATCCAGCAAACTGATTTGTGAGATAAAATACCAATATTATGGGGAAGAAATTTGACATTAGATAAAATGATATATATTTAATATTTTTCTTTACTTTGAAAAGGCTCAACCTATGCACACTGAGCTGGTTAAGAAGATCCTAGGCAACAAAGCTACCTTCAGCCCTATAGTCACATTGGAACCTAGAAGAAGAAAATTCCATAAGCCAATTACCATGACTATTCCTGTCCCCAAAGCTTCAAGTGATGTTATGTTGAATGGTTTTGGGGGAGATGCACCAACCTTAAGATTACTATGCAGCATAACAGGTGAGTCACTTATGACTTTATTGTAAATATTAAGAAATGCATCTGAGAGGCCTGCATGATTATATGCATTAATTCAGGAAAAGTGTTTTAATTAACTAGGAAAGTGAAAGGTGAAAAGAAATTAACTAATATTTACTAAATTAAAGTCTGTAGGCTAAACTATTAGATACTTTATTATATGCATTGTCATTTTAATCTTCATAGTAACCCTATGAGGAAAAGGCCAATTTTGCTGAAAAGGAAACCAAAGTTGAAAGAAGTTCTATAACTGGCCTGAATTAAACCATAAATATTTGACAGAGTTCGGATTCAAACCTAAGCCCATCTACTAACAAAGCCTAGGCGTCAAGCCTTCATTGAAGACATCACCTTATGTATACTAGGAAAAAAAATAGCATTTTGAATAATTATACCCAGTAGTTCAAATCAAACTATTCTGTCTAGGAATTGGTTATGTCTTCATCACTCATCTATTGAACTAACTTTAGAAAAACAAATTAAAGGCTTTTAATGATTAACTGATTTTTGGTCTTTTTAATTGGTAGTTGTAACTTTCAGACAACTACCAAAATCTTAAAAGACATCCCCAGAACATTGGTTGGTTCTTCATAACAATACCACCACAAATGGTGAGAGGCAGAAAAATCCACACAAATAAACTGTTTGAGGACTACAAAATTTAACTTATAATTTTCTCACTTAACAGTAATTACATGATGTTGGCACTCAGTAAATATTAATACTGTCATTAGTAGAAACAATAACCGTCCCTGGTAGTTTGGGTATTGTTAGACTTTGTTTTTTCATTTCTGCTTCATATTGGCAGAATTTTTCACCATTATTTTTTCTCTTTCTCTAATTTTCCCTTCTTATTAATATGTTTCTGTACTTATGATAGAAAACCATTGAGATTATCTTATAAGTTTAGTAATATGACAGAATTTAAAGACATGTGTACCAGAGCTGGCTCATTAGTTCGATTGGTTAGAGCCCAGCCTTGTAACACCAAGAAAAAAGTATTCCATTTTTAAATAATGAGAAAAAACAGTAAGTACTTGGATATCAATTGAACTTGGGAAATCAGATATTTATTCAAAGAAAAGTGTAAGACTACAGTGAATCAAATAAAGCATGAATGAATGGGGGGCTGGCTGGTTAGCTCAGTTGGTTAGAGTGTGGTTTTATAACACCAAAGTCAAGGGTTTGGATCCACATACTGGCCAGCTAACCCCCCCCCCAAAAAAAAAAAAAAAAAGAAAGAAAGAAAATATATGAACTATAATGAGTGAAGGGGGAAATCATATGCTTCACTTGTGATCTCTTTCCCAATTGTTCATTTCTGGATATTACCTAGCATTCCTGGGTATTTTTCCCCATAATTTTTGCTCCATGGGTATATGATTAACCCTTTTGTAATGTGCAACATAATGGCATGGATGTGAGACAGGTGAGACTGAAGAATGTCTATGGTATGCCCTGCCCTTATTATGATCAAATGAATATACTTCATGGGCCCAGACACCACCTATTTATTCCAGCCCTATGTCTTCAGATGGGTTTCTACTAAACAATTCCTTAAGTTTAATTAAAATTATTCTAAAATTTAATACTTAAATTTATGTATTAATTCTACAAATACCTAGGTGTTTGAGTTTTTGTACTTTTCTACATTATATAGTTATGCTAAGAATATGTACTTTGAAGGCCTACTAGAATAAACTTCCATAACCTTTCTTTAATAAGTCATTCATTTCTTTAAGAAACTTTAGAGTCAAGATTTTTCTTCACCTCAAACACATATTCCTTCCACACCAATTTGACTGTTTTGTCCATATCTATATCAACTTAATTTCTCAGTAGAAATGAAAGACAGTCATCATCAGCCTTTGTGGTGATTTTTCTATTTACAGAGGCCGTCCTTTGGCATTCATTTATTTGTTTATTCACCCTGCAGTATTTACTGAGCTCTTAATATTTTCCAAGCATTTCTTTTTTTTGCAAATCTTTTATTGCAAGTTGAGAGGAAATTTCATTTTTTGAAAATAGTTGCATAAAATATGAAGTTCGGGAACAAGAGAATATTTAGATTGTTCATTATTTTAACAAAGTATTCAGCTCCTTAGTTAGTCAAAGAATCTTTTAAAATAGTCAACTGTATGCAATACAAAATTATCTTCAGAGCCTAGCAATTACAACAAAAGATTCAGAATGTCAGGCAGAGAATAGAATGCCTAGTAAACAGTTATTCAAATAAATAACTCCCCTTAAATTTAGTTCCTTGAGAGGTGATGTCTGCTATTTTTTTTCAGTGTGTCATTTTTTAGCATGTAATTTTTAGTCATTTTGTTTTCAATGTGTCATGTTGAGGGGAGGGTAGGATTATGCTGGTGAACACAGCCAAAACCACAAAGACTTTATTTTACAATTCAGAGTTTGGAGTTTTGCCTAATTTTTTTTTTCAACAATCATATTATTTCAGGTGGAACCACTCCTGCTCAGTGGGAAGATATTACAGGAACTACGCCATTAACATTTGTCAATGAATGTGTTTCCTTTACAACCAACGTGTCTGCCAGGTATGGTTATGCAGCACAGAAAATCCCGCTATGAAATTGTCCCCCTCTCCCACCCAAAAAACTGTCTCTTGTGTTGTTTTATTTTGTTTCTTAACTTTTTTAAAGTGATTTTTTTTGTTGGATTTTAAATATGGTCTGCATGTACTGTCATATTTCAAACTAGACCTGCCAGCAAATGTAATAGTGACAATATAGTAACAAAGTACTACTAGTCAGATTAAAATCTAAGGAAAATGAGTGAGTGACTGCTTTGGCTCTATGCTTTTGACTCTGGTTTTAGCAGCCACTGATGATTTTCCAATCCCTATCATTTTGGGAATGATAAATTTCCTTTTGCCAGCAAAATAGCCTGAACTATGGTGAATATAACAAAAATACAAAGCCCACCATGTTTTGCTTAAATAGCTTAAATAGTTTTAATGGCTCTTAAACATCCTAACACATTTGCATATTACCCATTTATGTACTGCACATCTTTAAAAAGCTGAAGCTGTCTGGTTTTATTTCTTATGCACACATTAACTCAATTTATTAATACTAGTTCCTATTTATATGGTCTTTAATTAGTTGCTAAGCATTTTCGTTTTTCTTTAATTTGATATTACAACATCTTTGTGACTTAAGTAGGGCAGTAGGCCTTAAGTCCATCTTACACATGAGAAAACTGAATTTGAGAGTGGTTAAAACTTGTACTCCTATGGGGGGAAGAGAGATCAGATAAAAATGCATGAATAGTTAAATAACAGTGCACAGCAATAGCTGGGTGTGGTGGCACATGTTTATAGCGCCACCACCCAGAGGTCTGAAGTATTGAGTCTACAGTTCTGTGGTTCAGTGCATTCTGCCAATCATACATCTACACTCTAATGCCACAAGATGACAGGTTCTGAATGAGATACACTAAAAGAATTCAGGGGAGGGTGTTCTCATAGAGAGGGTGTCCAAGAAGAGGTGACTCTTGAGACATACATCAAAACCTAATAGGCAGATAAAAGTTGAAAAGAGAATGACATGAGCAAAGATGCAAAGACAGAATGCAGAAGGTGTATTGTGGGATAGCAGCAATGACTTATGTAGTCTATAATTCAGAAATAATGCTGGAATGTTGGCTGACAACACTGTTTATAGAAGGCATTGTAGGGTAGATAAAGAAGTCAGATGTCACCATAAATATATACAATTTCTACTTGTCTATCAAAAATTGCAACAAAAAAAACCTACATGAAAATAAAAGTAAATAAAAATACTACAAAGTAAAATTTAGAAGAAAGCTTCAGTTACAAAAAAATTCAACTGTTTTGTGGGAAGATGTGAAAAATAAGTAACTAAAGTCAAACCAATTAAAATACCCCAATAGAAGGGAAGAGTTATTATGTTATCATACTAATAATTTAACTCACAGACAGTTGAACAAACAGTGAATAAAGTATAGCTGAGTCTGTAGAAAGAGGAAGGTCATATCCTTGCCATGGGCAAGGAAGTATGCTGAACCTTAAAACCATAAAGCAATCGGAATAAGCCAGACACAAAAGGACAAATATTGCATGATTCCACTTACAGGAGGTACCGAGAACAGACGAATCCATAGAGACAGAGAGTAGAATAGAGGTTACTAGGGGCTGGAGTGAGGTGGGTAAATGGGAGTTATTGTTTAATGGGTACAGAATTTCTGTTTGGGATGATGAAAAGCGCTGGAATGGATGGTGGCGATGATTGCACAACATTGTGAGCGTATTTAATGCCGCTGATCTGTGTACTTAAAGATGATTAAAAATGATAATTTTTATGTTATGAAGAGAGAAAGAGAGGCTAGGAGGATATGGAAATCTCATGAATGTTTAAAGATTATGGGAAATGAGTCAGGGGAAGGAGAGTAATATAGAAAGGTTTCAAAGCAAGAGGATGTGGAATAAACTTTTGGAAGTGCATAAATAGCAAATTGGAAAAATGTCCATCTAGTGGCCTCTACTTTCTCCATGAAGTTATCCTTCTTTCGATAACTTCGTATAATGTATGCTATACGAAGTTATTACGACCAGGAATCACGATTTCCATTTCATCAATGGGCTGAATTGTGTCCCCTCAAAATCCATATGTTGGAGCCTTAATCCCCAGTACCTCAGAATGTAAAGATAGGACATTTAAGGAAGTAATTAAGTTAAAATGAGGTAATTAGGGGGGCCCTAATCCAATATGACTGGTATTCTTATAAGAAGAAGAAATTAGGACACAGAAGACACAGACAGAGGGACACCCATGTGAGGACACAGAGAAGGTGGCCATCTGCAAGCCCAGGAGAGAGGCCTCAGAAGAAACCAAACCTGCTAACATCATCATCTTGGACTCCTAGCTTCCAGAACTGTGAGAAAATAAATTTCTGTTGTTTAAGCCACCCACTCTGTGGCGTTTTGCTAAAGCAGCTCTAGCAAATGAATGCAATCAAGAATGGAAATCAGATTCAGAGAGGTTGAGGGACTTACGCCTCGCTCAGCCAGTGAGCGGGAACCGGTCTGTATGTGGGATCCGAACCCTCGGCGGGAGCGCCGCCGCGCTTCCCAAGCGGCGCACTAGCGCAGTGCGCCACCGGGCCGGCCCCTGAAGTTATCTTTCTTAGGGCCTATGGTGAGAGGGGAAGCTCAAGGAGTGTCATAAAGATTTAGCAAAATTACTGTACTGAACAAAATGACATCTGAGCAAAAAGTTGCCAAGCAATGTCACAAACTGAGCTGAGGCTGGAAATCATAAAGTCATGGACCCAATAATTTCTTCTATGAATTATAATCAGCTATACTTAGGTGTTCTGGAGCAGATTTTTTAAATGGTTGGATTTATTTAATCTTTTTGTCTGGATAGTTCCTTGGAAAAGAATGATGGGATGAGGAAATGCTGAGTAGATTTTGTTGAAAAAAGTTTCCAGAAATGAAATGAAGAATAGGAGGGGGGATCAGGAGAGAGAGAAACTCATACAGTGAGATTCTTGTCACAATGTCTGATAATGAGCTTGTGCCACCAGACAATTCTAAAACACTGAAGGTGTATTTCAGATGACTGAATACAAAGAAGAGTTTCCAAGGAAAAAAAATACATTTACAATATTTAATAGTTGATCTTAAAAACCTGATATACCTTTCTACCCCTCATTCCCTTCTGCCTTCCCATCTGTTCTAAATGTTCTCCCATCCCCTCTCTTTCTTTCCCTTTTCTTTGACTTTCTCTCATTATCTCCCTTTCTCACTTCCTTCTTTTTCCAAGAAGCATTTGATGAGTACTTTGATAATATTGAAGGAAATGATTTTTTTTTCCCAAGTAATATACCATAACCTTTAGATAACTGACTTTACTTCTTTTTGTAGGTTCTGGCTGATAGATTGTCGACAGATCCAGGAATCTGTTACCTTTGCATCACAAGTGTACAGAGAAATTATCTGTGTACCTTACATGGCCAAATTTGTAGTGTTTGCCAAATCACATGACCCCATTGAAGCCAGGTTGAGATGTTTCTGCATGACTGATGATAAAGTGGATAAGACCCTTGAACAACAAGAAAACTTTGCTGAGGTGGCCAGAAGCAGGGATGTGGAGGTACTGTATTAACAATAACAATTTATTCCGCGTTATTATACCTTTATTAACAGACTATACTTCAAATAGAATTTAATGAACAGAGTCATAAAAAAAAGAAAGACCAGTCCACATCTGGATCAGTTACAAGGTTAGAATTCAAAATCAGCCAATTTTAGCCAGTTTGGACCTATCCAAACTGATCTCAGTGAGGAGGTAAAAGGATTCCTTTAAAGATTATTTGAGGAAAAATTATGAGTTACTGATAATCTCAAAGTATGTAAGTGACTATAGCAATTTAGATTTTTTTTAGCTTGTTACTTTTTAATAGTAAAGAAAACAGTCTGGGAAGGTACATCCTTTTGCATAAATGTTGATGTAGGATAGTGTTTTTCTATGACGTTACTCTTTCTTGGTCTTTGGGTATTGAAGTTCAATAATCTGACTCATTGTGATGTCAAAAGTCAGCCAATCTGAAATTTAAATTTAGGATTTAAATATGTATTGGTTTTGTGAGGTAACATGATACAGTGTTAGAAATGAGAACATTAAATGCCACCACTCATCTGGAGATTCCAGTTATTAGTGAGAAAAGAGTTATTAATAAGAAGAGAGAGTGCTGGCACATGCTTTGCCACAGATAAGACAAAATGTCAGTTGGCAATTTAAAGATTGTTGTTATGTATATTTTAAGAATTTAAAATTCCATGTAGTACTACTGCTGCTTCTTTGTGTAAATAACAAGTTATAATTGCAGTTATTTTATTCTGTCTTATTTTATTCTGTTTTTCTCTGTTCTCTCCCAGGTATTAGAAGGAAAACCCATCTATGTTGATTGTTTTGGCAACCTGGTGCCATTAACCAAGAGTGGCCAACATCATATATTCAGTTTTTTTGCCTTCAAAGAAAACAGACTTCCTCTCTTTGTCAAGGTAATGTATATATGGGATTATGTAATGTATTTTATTCAAGATAAGGAAAGATTTGAATTTTTTAGTAGAAAATATTTGCTTTTCAATCATGTCCAGTGATTTTTAAAAACCATATCTGTACTGCAATGAACATTGGAGTACAGGTAACCCTTTGACATGATGATTTCCATTCCTCTGGGTATATTCCCAGCGGTGGAATAGCTGGGTCATATGGTAGATCTATCTGCATTGCAGCACTATTTACAATAGTCAAGAGTTGGAACCAGCCCAAATGTCCATCATTAGACGAGTGGATAAGGAAACTGTGGTAGATCTACACAATGGAATACTACTCTGCTATAAAAAAGAAGGAAATACTCCCATTTGCAACAGCATGGATGGACTTAAAGAAAATTATTATTATTATTTTTTTTTTTTTTTCCTTTTTGTCTTTTTTCATGACCGGCAACGGATCGCAACCCTCAGTGTCGCGCCCGTACCGGACCGGGACCGGCAACGGGATCGCAACCCTCGGTGTTGCTCCCGCACCTCGCTCAGCCAGTGAGCGGCCGGTCTGTATGTGGGATCCGAACCCTCGGCGGGAGCGCTGCCGCGCTTCCCAAGCAGCGCACTGTAGCAGTGTGCCACCGGGCCGGCCCTAAAGAAAATTATATTAAGTGAAACAAGTCAGGCACAGAAAGAGAAATACCACATGTTCTCACTTATCTGTGGGAGCTAAAAATAAATAAATAAGTACACAAACAAACAGCAGGGTTGGGGGGGGCGGGAAGAAGACACAATAACCACACTTCCTTGAAGTTGTTAAGACAAGTGAACAGATATGAGGTTGATGGGAGGAAGGGGGGACAGGAAGGGAAGAGGGAGGATTTGGTAAAGGGACACAAAAATCAATCACATTGTATATTGATAAAATAAAATAAAATTTTTTTAAAAACCCATATCTGTAAAGTTTTACAGTCCTGAAAAACCAATCATTTTTATTTTTGAAGTTCAGAGTCAACCTTAATTTTTAGTTACAGACTATGTTTAAGGATGAGAACAAGGACAAAGAATAGCCAATTTATTAATTAGAAACACTGGCCACTCTTTTCCAAATTTGAAGGGAAGTCTGTTTTGTTGCTGTTGTTGTTTTGTTTTACTGTTATTACTTTTGAATATTTATGCTTAGATTTAAAAAATATTTGTAAATTTCACAATTGTGAAGACCAAAAGAGTCATGGGACAACTTTTTTGTAATAAAATCTCTCCAAAGACCCAGGATATCATGTAAGCTAATAAGAAGTCATCCCAGAGAGAATTATAGACTTGATATACTTTCATAAATTCATTCAACAAACATTGCATAGACACTTCAATGTAACATGAATTTGTTGTCTCTGTTAAGGAACATTAATCCAAATTAGGGATATGACAGTGATGTACACAAGTTTCATTCAAGATTTCACTTCTAAAGAGGACACAAACTTGTGAACAAGATTCAGGGAAATAATAATTCTGCTCTGTTCTATTTTCCAGCCTCTCATTTTCTTTCCTGTTTCTCATCCTTTCACTAATTTAGAGGTCCTAATGCTCAGTCCTCACAGATATAGTACAGGCTGGTCTCCATAAGTTTTTTTTCTGGTCTTACTTCAAGCTACTAATTCCCCAATTGTTCATCAGCAGTGACTCCTTTTATTATTTTAAACCCTCATGATTTTTCAAGCATCTCTCATTAAGTTTTCCTAAGACTTCTACTGAGTCCCCCATTGTACCCTTTCTGGTTCAATTATTTTTGTGTGATTAATGATAGTTTCTTACAGATCACCACATTAAGCAGTAACTGCTGAGTGGTAATTGATCCATTTACCATAGAGAGCTGCATGATTAAGCTAATATTTGATATCATTGATGTACTTAAGTCATTCTACAAACAACTCAATACAAAAATGGGCAAAGGATTTTAATAGACATTTCTCCAAAGAAGATATACAAATGGCCAATAAGCACATAAAAAGACACTCAACAGCTTAAGGAAATGCAAATCAAAACCAAAATGACATATCATTTCATAACCATTAGGATGTCTATTATTATAAAACAGAAAATAAACAAACATTGGCAAGGATGTGGACAAATTGGGACCCCGATGCATTGCTGATGAGAATGTAAAATAGCGCAGTTCCTGTTAAAAACAGTATGGTATTTCCTCAAAAAGTTAAATATAGAATTAGCATATGATCCAACAATTCCACTTCTGGAAATATACCCAAAAGAATTGAAAGCAGGGACTCAGATACTTGCGTACCAGTGTTCTTACAAGCATTATGCACAAAAGCCAATAGATGGAAACAATCCACGTGTCCATTGACGGATGAGTAGATAAACAAAATGTGGTATATAAATACAATGTAATATTACTTGGCCTTAAAAAGGAATGGAATTCTGAGACATCATACAATATGAATGAACCTTGAAGACATATTATAAATGAAATAAGCCAGACATAAAAGGACAAATATTGTATGGTCCCACTTGTACAAAGTACCTAGGGCAATCAAATTCATAAAGACAGAAAATAGAAGGGCAGTCACCAGGGGCAGGAGGAAGGGGGCAATGGAAAATTATCGTTTAATGGATATAGTTCCAGTTTGGTAAGATGAACAAGTTCTGAAGATAATTGGTGTGGTGGTTATACAACAATGTGAATGTACTTAATGCCACTGAACTGTACACCTGAAACTGGTTAATATGATAAATTTTATGTTATGTTTATTTTACCACTATCAAAAAGGAATGAAATTCTGATACATGCTGCTATATAGATGAAAACATTATGTTAGTGAAATAAGCCAGACACAAAAGGACAAATATTGTATGACCCCCCTTATATGAAGTACCTAGAATAGGCAAAGTCATTGAGACAGAAAGTAGAGTAGAGGTATCAGGGGCTGGGGGAAGAGAGAAATGGTGAGTTATTGTTTAATGAATACAGTTTCTGTTTGTGATTTTGAAAAGTTCTGGATAGCGGTAATGATTAACAACTCTGTGCACTTGCTTAATGCTACTGAATTGCACACTTAAAAATAGTAAATGTTATGTTATGTACATTTTACCACAATTTTTTTAAAAGCTGAATAAGTTCTGGAGATCTAATGTACAGCATGGTAACTATAGTTCATATTGTATTGTATACTTGAAATTTGCTGAGAGATCTTAAGTGAGAAAAGGAGGGGATAATTATGTGGGGTGATGGATGTGTTAGTTTGATTGTAGTAATCACTTCACAATGTATACATAATCAAACTATCACATTGTATACCTTATATACAATTTTTATGTGTTAATCATACTTTAATAAAGCTTAAAAAAGCTAGATGATTTTTTAAAAGTCATTCTAAATGGTGATAGGAAAAGAGAAAAAGGAAGACCTCTGAATTCTCACTTAACATTAACAAATGAATTTTATTCTCCCTTTTCAAGTATCATCTAAGCAAAATAAATAGTACACATCAAATATGGGTGTAGCATATGTGTCTTTCTTGTTCAAGGTACGAGATACCACTCAGGAACCTTGCGGACGACTATCATTTATGAAGGAGCCAAAATCCACAAGAGGCCTGGTGCATCAAGCTATTTGCAACTTAAACATCACCCTGCCGATTTATACAAAGGTATTGTCAAATCTGCTGTCGTGCAATTCAGGCAGTGTAAGAACTGATTTTCAAATCCCTTAAAATGATAAAAACAAAGACACTGAATGCAAGCACACAGAACAATCATTTTTGATTCCCTGTCAAATTTATGATTTTCCATTTAAGTAAGGAAAAGGTAGTTCCACCTTTTTTCACATTAAATGCACTGTGACGAAAAAATTCTATTAACACTTATTGGATGTAGAAGAGAGAAAATTTGGTTTAAGTTTTAATTCTTTGAACTAATTTTTAAAAATAAAATAATTGGCTTTGTCTTGATTATTGTTTTTATTTGCTCTCCTGAGACCATATTTGTGCATTTGACCTACCCAAATATTAGAATTCATTAGCTTCAGCTTACTACTAATTCACAAGTGGATTATATATTATTAAATTCAGAGCAACCTCATGATATTTCATCTTTTTTGCTAAAATATTTACCCATTCATCTTATAACCTGTCATATTTTAGGAGTATTAAATGAATTTTTCAACTATTTTAACGTGATTAGTATAAAAAATATCCCCATGTTACAAGCAGTAGATTTGAAACTTGTTGAAAAGGAAAAAAATTATTAATTCCTGACCCAAAGTCTACCTATAGGCATTACTTTCTTTTCAAACCTCTCCCCATTATATAATTTCTTGAGTACTTTGATTAATTCAAGAAGACAGCTGAATTAATTATATGTTGTTGATAACTTCTTTTTATTATTTTTAAGTCTTTTTTTAACCAATGTCCTTCTTTGACAAGAAGCTCCCACATGACAATCTTCAGGTGGTTGCAGCACATTGTCAGTGTGTGTACTACAGGCTGGGGAGGGAGGTGAGCAGTAGCTGCTGAAAGCTGGAGGAGAAGCAGGGATGTGTTTAAAATCCTGAATCTGGACTAATTCTATATTTACACAAAACACAAAACAAAGAATTTCCTATATTTCTTTTTCCCTACCTCAGTTGTCAAATTGTATATTTTGCTTAATTAGTTATTCTTGTAACTAGAGATCAGTCACATAAAGAAAAGCTCATATCAACATGTTTGACATTGTAAATTCTTATTAGATGACAAAAAATGAAATATTACCTACAAACGTAAATATACATGTAATGTCAAGAATTGGAATATTGCAATAGATATACCAACCCCAATCAGCATAATCTAATTGTACTCCAGTGGTGCAGATTGGGGTTTGTAGTGTTGATCAATAGTGAATCACTAGAGGCAGAATGCTGAATAAGAACCACAAAGAAATATGTACTGCTGTAGGCAAGCCACCCGCATGATATATACAGATAAGTGAGCTTTTTCTGATTTCAATAAGCTTTCAATGTGCTATGAAAAAGGCATTTAATTTATTATTATATTTTATTTCTAAGTCAAGATATATCAGATACAGTTATTAATGTTGTAATGACCCAGGACAATTTTCTATTTAGTTACTCAAAACCGAAAGAAAAAATACCAAACATTGTACATTTAAGATATACTATAGAATTTGGTAACTCTTTATTATAATAAAATTCCTAAATGTTGCCTGCACATTGAAAATATTTTTGCTTATTTGTAGCTTCTTACATTTTCAACCAGTATCTGTAATGCCTGTGATATAATCATTACCATTTTAATAGACAAATGCTATCAAATCCACTAAATGTCAAACTTTGAGACTGATAGTGATCTAGCATCTGAAATTAGTATATTTATAATTTTGGTTCTTCTGTCTCTCAGATCTACAGACTTTTGCATTTAAATCGGCACTCTAATTGTTCTGCTTGTCTTCTGTAATCTGTTAGTAAGAAAAATAAGAGTATGCTGACTGTGTGTTTGCCTGTTGATGTTTGTTGGCAGGACAATTACTCTTTTCTTCTAAATACTCTCTACTCTTCCTTCTCTCTTTTTTCCCTCTTTCATGGCATCTTGGGGCGGCAAGGAATCAGAGTCAGATCAAGAACAGGAGGAAGAGGTAATTTTACGAAAGCGTCACTTGTTAATGGCTGTGTCATTGCTAGAACCATCAATAAGACCACATAGTTAACCTGTGTTCTTAGAAAGGGTAGGCAGTTGTTCTTAATAATTAAAAGGCACAATTTTACTTAAACTCTCTAAGCCTCTGTTTTCTCATCTGTGGACTGACTTCAGAGAATAATAAAGTTTCCTTGTAAACTGTTGCCCTGTCTGTATGTAATAATATATATTTCTCTACCAACGACTGATGGCTAACCCATTATCTCAGTGGTTCTCAAAAGTTAGAGTGAAGATACCTGGAGGTCAAAACTCTTTTTATAATAGTACTAAGACATTATTTGCTATTTTAACTCTCATGTCCTCACAAGCTACAGAGAAGTTTTCCAGAGGCTATATTACATGTGACGACATCATCATACTGACAATTAATGTGATTGTGTATTCTTGGGTTCTGACATTTTCTCAGCTTTAATTTGTAGTACAGGTACTTATTTATACATATCACACATAAGCAAAACTTCTTTGGGCTACTCACTGATTTGGTGGAGTACGAAGAGGTCCTAGGACCAAAGAATATGAGGATCACTGAGATCAAAAGACATTAGAGCATATAGTTCCTCCATTAGACTATAATAACCTTATAATGCAGAACTATACTAATAATGAGCATTTGTCATAAAGTAAGATCTTTGCTAAGTGTTCCACATATCTTATCAATACTAATCTCTTTAAGCCACCCTGAGGTGTGTACTATTACATCATAGATGAAGAAACCAAGTCTTAGAGAGGTTACTTTGAATAAACAGCCATTTGAATTATACCTGCTTCAGTATTTAAAGCAAATATGTTCACCTCTCTTATAAAGATCTGAAAATGCCCAAGTATTATAATAAAAATGAAAGAAATCATTGGAAAACTCCTTATATCTATCTACCTATTAATATATCAATTCCTATTTTTAAGGTAGACAAATGCAATTATTAATTAAATGTAAATATTTTCAAATATAGTAGTTTTACCTTTTTAAATGTTACTCTGAAGAATTTGAAATGCAAAAATATGAAGAAAAAACATCACAAATAGTCTTGTACCCACCAGTTTACAACGTAAGACTCTCTCAGTTCAGAGGATGCCCCCAAATTCACTTTTTTTCTGATGTCTTGGCAGTGGAGCAGAGTGAGAGCGGTGACTATAGACTTACTGCCCTGCCGTCTATAGTCAGATACTGAGGTCATTCTTTCCTGCGGCTGTACAGTCCCTCTTTGTCTCAGACTCAATTTCCTTCCAGTAGTCGGTGACCCTATCACCACAGCTGTTAAAAAAAATACTGCCACACCTTCTTGAAAGAGCAGTAATACTCTGAAGCCAACTTTATATGTTCACAAATGAATATTTTTTATTAGGTGTAAGATTTTTCTATTGAATATTTTCAGGAACTATTCAGGGCAATAGATCCAGTTTGTTTTCTTTTCAGGATTTGGAATGCTGGCTTGTTATTAATGATAATGAAACTACTTCTATAGAATGTATCACTCTGGCATGCTGTTTGTCCTTCTCTTTTTTCTCCACTAAATTGACACTTACTGATTAATACTTACTTTACCCTTTTTCTGACCTTTTCCCTAATAAATATGTATTTCTAACATCAAATGCACCCTGGGTCATATATTTCCAGGAATAACAAGTTAGAAAGGACTTTCCACCTGTAGTGTCTAGAAACAATTTTTTTTTTTCAAAGTTAGGATGCGACTCTCAGGAAAAATTGTAGCGAATTACTCTGACCTTCAAGCTAATGGTGTTACCCCCATGTGTATAATTATGAATAAGAACTTATTGTGCACATCAGAGGCTGTGAGCCAAGATGCCATTTGTAACTATTCAATTTATGTATGTTTTCTTTCAGATCGATATGACATCAGAAAAAAGTAAGATCTTAAATAAAATTGAGTTTGTTTGAAAGCTGGCTACAATAAAGAGTAGCATGAATTAAGATGCAAGCTAGTTACCATTACTAACCACTATAATATTTATGTTTCTATATTATCCTTATTAATCATTAATATATACATTAAAGCAGCTTGGCCAGTTAAATTACAAATATATCTAATTAGTGAGCTAATTAGCAGTAAAATGCGATGATTATTCATCTAAGCATTCACTTTCTTTTGACATCCCTGTTAACCCTGGTATTGCTGCTATGCTTGTTTAGAAACCCACCCTACCGTTTTGTCCATTTGTTAGCATAACATTGTCATCTCATTATTTTTAAGCACTGACATGGCAGTATCACTTTTTATGTAAAGCAACAGTGACTTCTGTAGAGAGCTCGTTATTTTTGTAGGATCCACCTGCAAAAGTGATACTGTCTAATAGTTCTTAACTGAAGCTAACTCCCCCCACCACACCCCTCATCCCTCCCTTGCACCCCTTACTGTGGTGAAGTGTAACGAATGTCTTTAAGGGCTGATGTCTAACAGATGTTTGTAAAAACTTTCAGTGCGGGGAGAGTGGGAACTAGAGGCAAGAATGCAAAAATGAAAACCTCCTGGATGAAATTACTAATCACAACAGCATGTTTTTAAAGGGCTAATTTTAAATAATGATGCAAATCTCAATCCTGATCTAGTACAGAGAGAACTGGTTTTTACAGATCTTGAAAGAGTTATATTAGAACTCATTTCAGGTTTGTAATATTCAATTAACATTTTAGTTTGGCCTATTTCCAGTGACTCTCTGGCTTCTTGTGTGTAAACTCAAGTTGAATTTTATAGGCTTCTTGCTTTTATGCCCCTTTTTAATGCTTTAGAAAAAATTTAATTTTTAACGTTTATTGCGTTTAAGATTTATTTAAATTTGCTATATTTCAGGATGATATTCTCAAAAGAAGAACTCTTAGATCCATGTTTAATATGATCATCTGGCCCTATATAATGCCCTAAGGACTTTTTTTTTAAGTCCTCGCACAATGTAATTTACTACTCAATTCATGTTAAATCATTATTCAGGACTACTAGAATATTTGAGATTCTGGATGTTTTCATTAGTTTATATAATTGAGTAACTGTATTGATATAAATTATTTAATATTTTTATATATGCATATTCCCATACTATGTCTCCCCAACAAATATGGATTCTCTCAAGAGAAGGCACTTTTGTTTATACTGACATATTATCATTGCCTTCATTGAGTCCTCTTTTTTTTTTTTTTTAAAGTGATTTTATTTTATTCTCCCACAGTCTTCTTCAGGACTACTGTGTTTATTTAAATGGCCCTTTACTTTGCTTCTTGGATAAAATTCAGTAGTAATTAAAATAATCCATCAATCTGGCTCAAATGTTTAAAAAAAGAAAAGAAAAACGTGACCATGTTGCTATAATGCCATGATTTCACCTGAATGTTTTAAAAGTTTCAAATAAAAGCTTGTGTTTGGTTTTGTTTTAAAAAACAATCACTAAATAATCTTCATTTATGTATAAAATAATCTCTAAAGAAGGGCTCTGTTGAAAGGACTCTTCCCTAAAGTCTTTTTATGAGTAAATCTTAAAATTGAGTTTAACTTTTCATCCTTTTCTTTAATGGGTGCAAGCCCCTACAACCTACCCCTCAAATACACTACACTCTGCAACTTATGTATGGACTTTTAGGGAAATGAATACGCTTCACCACAGTAATGTTTTACATATTTGTTCTAATTTCTTCCCATCCTCCTGCCCATGCATTTCAGCAAGGCCGCCTCTCCCAGCAGTTTTACTCCACCTTTGCTTTGCATGGAAATAACTTGGCTTACATAAACTGTGCGTGTGTCCTGTGTGACTGTCTCTAATTTGGGTTGCTATGCATCACATTTTAACTTTGGACTCACATATAAGTTTAATCACAGTTGTTTCTGTTGGTTTTCTTTCCTTTCCTTTATTTCCCTCCTTGGTCTGTTCATTACGTGTCTAAACAAGGAGGTTGTTCCAAGGAAAGAACCATGCCTCTAAGCACCAGACCGTTTGTTTCATTGTTAGGTGTGAATTTCCCTTAGGTGAAATGCCGGTTTGCAGCTGATTCAGATATTTTATATTGTCATTGTATATTGGCAGAACCAAACATACTGAATTCCAGATTTTTATATGATTAGAAAATGTATGTTCATCATTAGATGTTAATCTGAGTTTGCTACTACTGGCTTTCTCCTGGAGGAAATCAACTTTCTGCAGTTTCTAATGCTTTTTTCTTATTTTTTCCCCATAATTTTATTTTTGTTTCAACATTGATCTGTAACATTTGAACAATCTTGAGATACCTCTGTGTAATTTCACTGTGTTCTTTCTGTTTTGATTTGTGATGGTTTTGTGTGTGTGTGTGTGTGTGTCTTGATTACTTGTTATTGCTTTATTGTATGCGTGGATGTGCTACAAGTGAGAAAATTAAGCAAGTTATTTCCTGCTCATTTTTCCTTTTCAGTTTTTTTTTTTTTTCTGTTAGCCTTGCTTTGCTTTTGTACCCTAAGACCTTGTGGATCCACCATTCCCAGCCCATTTTGTTGCCCCTCCCACCACAACAGGAAAAGACACTGTGTCGTTTCAGTCTTGAATACATTTGCCAATCTCTTTTTTGATTTCCATTTTACTTTCAATGTTTTTCATTCACATCAAAGATGATGAGACAGAATCTACAGAAACATCTGTCCTGAAAAGTCACCTGGTTAATGAAGTTCCTGTCCTAGCAAGTCCGGACTTGCTCTCTGAAGTTTCTGAGATGAAACAAGATTTGATCAAAATGACCGCCATCTTGACCACAGATGTGTCTGAGAAGGCAGGTGCTATTAAAGTGAAGGAGCTGGTGAAGTCTGCTGAGGAAGAGCCAGGAGAGCCTTTCGAAATCGTTGAAAGAGTTAAAGAGGACTTAGAGAAAGTGAATGAAATCCTGAGAAGTGGAACTTGCACAAGAGATGAAGGCAGTGTGCAGAGCTCTCACTCTGAGCGAGATTTACTAGATGAGGAATGGGTTATTGTCAGCGATGAGGAAATTCAAGAGGCTAAGCAAAGAGCACCTTTAGAAATCACTGAGTATCCATGTGTAGAAGTTAGAGTAGGGAAAGAGACAAAACTAAAACCAGAGAAAGACTCAACTGAGCTAGTGAACTACCTTACTGAGGACCTAAATTCCTATGTGTCTCTTCACGAAGAGCAGCCACAGGCAGTTCAGGATGTGGCAGGGGGGAAGCGGGAGGCTTTGGCCATTGATAGGAGCTCTGAAAATGAAGGGAAAGATATATCCCCAGATGAGACACAGAGTGCACAGAAACAACCCAAACCAAGCCTGGGAATAAAGAAGCCAGTGAGAAGGAAATTAAAAGAAAAGCAAAAACAAAAAGAGGAAAGTGTGCAGGCTAGTGCAGAAAAAACTGAACTTAAAAAATGTAGCTCAGAAGAGTCATTAGATGAAGACCCAGGTTTAGCCCCTGAACCTCTTCCCACTGTAAAAGCCACATCTCCTTTGATAGAAGAAACTCCCATTGGTTCCATAAAGGATAAAGTAAAGGCCCTTCAGAAGCGAGTGGAAGATGAACAGAAAGGTCGAAGCAAGTTGCCTGTCAGAGTCAAAGGCAAAGAGGACTTGCCAAAAAAGACCACCCACCGGACCCATCCGGCTGTGTCACCCTCTCTGAAGTCAGAGAGGCATGTGCCAGCATCTCCTTCCTCCAAAACAGAAAAACACTCTTCTCTTTCCTCCTCTGCAAAAACAGACAGGCACCCTCCAGTATCACCATCAGGTAAATCCGAGAAACACTCTCCTGTGTCACCCTCTGCAAAAACTGAAAGACATTCGCCTGTGTCATCATCAAGTAAACTTGAGAAACACTCACCTGTATCACCGTCAACAAAAACAGAAAGACACTCCCCCGTGTCATCTACAAAAATAGAAAGACACCCACCTGTTTCACCTTCAAGCAAGACAGACAAACGTACACCTGTATCACCATCTGGGAGAATGGAGAAACATCCACCAGTATCACCTGGGAGAACAGAAAAACGCTTGCCTGTTTCCCCCTCTCTAAGAACGGAAAAGCATCCACCCGTCTCAACCACTGGGAAAACCGAGAAACACCTGCCTGTGTCACCATCTGGGAAAATAGAAAAGCAACCACCTGTATCCCCCACCTCAAAAACAGAAAGAATAGAGGAAACAATGTCTGTTCGGGAGCTGATGAAAGCTTTCCAGTCAGGTCAGGACCCATCTAAACATAAAACTGGACTCTTTGAGCACAAATCAGCAAAACAAAAGCAGCCACAAGACAAAGGGAAAGTTCGAGCAGAAAAAGAAAGGGGACAGATAACTCAGAGAGAGATGCAGAAAACAGAGAGCCAGACAATTAAGCGAGGCCAGAGATTCCTGGTAACGGGAGCTTCAGAGTCCAAAAGAGGGGTCCGCACTTCCTCCCTAGGGTTTAAGAGAGAAGATGCAGTTGGAGAAAAGGAGAAAGCTCTCCGCCACCAAACACCTGAACCCATTCAGTCAGCACCTGAAGAAGAAAGCCATGGAGAGAGCGAAGTCCCCAAAGAAAAGATGGCTGATGAACAGGGAGACATGGATCTCCAGATCAGCCCAGACAGGAAGACCTCCACTGACTTTTCTGATGTCATTAAGCAAGAGTTGGAAGACAATGACAAGTACCAACAATTCTGCCTGAGTGAAGAGACTGAAAAGGCACAGCTTCACTTAGACCAAGTGCTCACTAGTCCTTTCAACACAACATTTCCACTAGATTACGTGAAAGATGAGTTCCTTCCAGCTCTGTCTTTACAGAGCGGTGCTTTAGATGGCAGTTCTGAGAGCCTAAAGCACGAAGGGATAGCAGGCTCTCCATGTGGCAGCCTGATGGAGGGGACACCTCAGATTAGTTCAGAAGAAAGCTATAAGCATGAGGGCCTA